CAGCCATGTAGGAGGCAAAAAACCCTAAACCCTAAACCCTACCCAGGCGATGGACCCTCCTTCCATATCGACTTCCAAGGCCCCGTGGAGGCGCCTTTTTAGGGGTTTTTAGGGTTTAGGGGATTTAGGGTTTAGGGGTTTTTAGGGTTTAGGGGTTTAGGGATTTAGGGTTTAGGGATTTAGGGTTTAGGGGTTTAGGGTTTAGGTTTTGGGGTGTAGCGGTTCGGGGTCTAGGGGTTTAGGGGCTTGGGGCGAGGGGTTTTGGGGTGTTTGGGGACTGGGGGAGTAGGGGTTTTGGGGAGTAGGGGTCCAGGGTTTTTTTGGTTTTGGGGTTTCGGGTTTTGGGGATTAGGGGTTTGCAGTTTAGGGGTTTGGGGGTTCAGGGTTTGGGGTTGAGATACGGTGGTGGTTCTGTATAGACATATGCACAAGGGCTTTCACGAGGGTTTTTCCCATAGGCTTTATACTGGCTTTTGTACAAGTCTTACAGGGTTACAGGGTTATGAGATAAGGTGTTAACATATCAGGCTGTTACACAGGTTTGTAGGATGTTGATAAGGCCCTATCAGGGTTTGGGGGTTTCGGAGGTTGAGGGCGTAGAGTTATGGCGATGAGGGTTTTGGTTTGGTGCCTAGGCTTGAGAATTTAGCCGTTTTCTTGGTGTTCATTGCTTTGGGCGCCCTGCAAAAGCCGGAAAGAGTTGTAGGACCGGAGAACCCATGTAGTATAAAGCCCACAGCCAGCAGCTGGTTGACCCAAACAGAAGCTGCTTGTATTCAGAGATGATTTCGACACGGAACGCACCCCTCAGCTGCGCATATATGTATATAAGGACGTGCCATGTATATAACGGATGTGTATGCATACATACATATATATATATACACATACGTTTATAGTGTACGAGAATTTGCACATACACACACACACACACATATATATATATATATACGAATATAAACATATATATATATACACAAACACTTACATATGCCACATGTAGACCCCACACATGTGTGCAAGGGTTTTATTCGGATGTCTTTGATCAACAGCCGGAGGTCTCTAAACGAGTGGGTACTAAACCGCAAAGCCGCAAACCTTAAGCCCAATCCCCCAACACCACAGGTGATTATTCCCAGCTACATCCTTCTAGGAGTTGTGAAAGAGAAGCATGGTCTCCAAAATGAGTTTTACTTTTGGGTTGACTGCGGGAGGTCCAGGTTTGTGTTTTTCCCTCGCAGGGTGCCTGCCCAGTGACAAGCAGAGTCTATATCATTAGCTCAGTCAGACTGTGCTTCCGCCATGAACAACCAAAATGCATGCGCAACTCACAATACCGTCCGGACGATATTGAAAGGGTTTGCCTTCAAGACCTGCCCCATGCTTCAACCCATGTTGCTGATGTGCTCGTGCCCTCAGCGCTGTTCAAAGGCCTTCATAGAAAGCAGTCGTGGGAGAGCATGTGGGGGTTTCCGAAAATAAGGGGTACCTTATTTTGGGGTCCTTATATTAAGGATCCTATCATTTGGGTACTTTATTAGGGTCCCCTATTTTCAGAAACCCCCATGTACAATCGCGATGCACGCGTGAAGCCCGAGTTCGAAACAAGGTGGAAAGCCTTGATGCCAAACACAAGCCCTACTTATATATATATATACACATATATGTATGTATGTATTTATGTATGTATGTATGTATGTATGTATGTATGTATGTATGTATGTACGTATGTATGTGTTATATATATATATGTATATATGTGTGTATATATATATATATATATGTGAGTGTGTGTGTGTGTGTGCGTGTGCCCCAACAACACTGAGTCAAAGTGGCCAGGAGCCCAAGATTCAACGCCTGATGAAGGACCTGCTCTGGGCTCTCCCGGTAGGGTTCAGGGTTTAGGGTTGCCGAAGTCATGCATGTCTTGGGACTGGATTTTGTGGTGCATCCTACCTTTCTGGACGCAAACCTACATCAACTGGAAATCCTGGATTCGAACAGTATGGCAGGAACATCACTGTGTTACCACAATCTCAGTTCTAAGTGCGGATGATCATCAGCGCGCGATCGACTTTGCAGGCCTCTTGTGTTCAGGGATTTAGCTGCTTTGAGCTTGGCGGCGTCGGTTTGTCAGCTGGGACACGTGTTTGGAAGAGTGCTTCCCTTATACCGGCTTCTACCGTTGCATGGCGCGGAGGTTCCATTGAATCAGAGGCACCTTGCATCGTCCAGCAGATGGGTCGAGTTTTTGAACACCACCCAGAGATTTGAATATCCATGTTCATTACACCTCCATTAGCAAGCATCCCGGCTCTAATTCAGGAACAGTCCTGAATCAAGGTGGTTTGGAGTTGAGAACAGCTGTGCAGGCGCGCTGCTTCGCAGATATTTTGGATGGCTGCGTCCACTGGGACCTTCCGCTCCAGACCCCACTTGTGGTTCGTCTCTAGGCCCAAAAATCCTGAGCTCTACCGCAGTGTTCCGCCCTTACTTGGAGAACTACCCCTATGAGTCCCTGAACCTCATGAAGCTTACACACAAAACCCTAAACCTTAAACCCTAAACCACTAAACCCCTAAACCCCTAAACCCTAAACCCTATAAGCCCTATAAACCATATAAACCCTAAACCCTAAACCCTAAACCACTAAACCCCTAAACCCTAAACATCCCTAAACCCTATAAACCCTATAAACCATATAAACCCTAAACCCTATAAGCCCTAAACCCTATAAACCCTATAAACCATATAAACCCTAAACCCTATAAACCCTATAAGACATATAAGCCCTAAACCCTAAAAAGGCCCTGACATGAGGAGATCAAAGTGCTCTCCGGCGTCTACAGCGTGGAAGCCATGGCTCCGAGAGAGGCCTTGGGACGGTTTAGGGTTTAGGGTTTAGGGTGTAGGGTTTAAGGATCGCAAAACCCCAAGGGAGCAAATTTCATAATGTAGGGGCCTTAACAATTTCAACAGCGTTTGGGGTATATTATACATAGCTATAATAAGGAAGCCCCCCAAACCCTATTCTAATTATATATTCAGGCCCCCTACATTACACGGGTTTAGGGTTAAGGGTTTCGGGTTTCGGGTGGGGAGGGGATGGATACTGGTGTCGCAATGATTAGCAATAGTACAGCCTTCCAGGATCCGTGTAGAATTAAAGCATGATTGGGCTCAAATCTCTGTATCAATTCATTCAGGCTCGTTTTTAGGTATCCATTCAGCCTGCAATGGAGCCCTGCATATGCAATCGTCATGTGTGCTGGCATTCACCAAGTCCATTGCTCCATAAAAACATGGAGCCCTGCTTCCCAACACGCATCTTAGCTCGACTGGCGCCCAACGGGAAACAGAAAAATACCGGGAATGTGAACTTAGGGTCTAATTTTGGCTTAAAGTTTCAGAGTTTAGGGCCTACCTCAGGAAGATGTGCAGCCCGCCGGTAAGCATTCAGCTTGGTTCGGATGCACTGGCTAATTACTACAAGAGTGTGTTCAACAAAACCAGGCTCGAATATCAACTTCCAAGATAATCCTTAGGATCTGTAAACCCTGCACCCTACATATGGGAGACGGAGTACCTTGGAAGTTATGGTCTCAAGCGTCTTCGTTCGATTGCGTTGCTTGCCCATCCCTCGCAAGGCTCTCTACGAACTTGTATGCTTGGGCGATACACCCGAAGGGTCCGAAGTACCCATATAGTAGAAAGTAGGGTTTCTATAGTGAAGGATGGTTCGGGTAAGTATCCCCTACATTGGTACAATCAGGACCCTTTGAGAATGAAGGTTCAGTGATTCGCAAGCCGGAGAAGGTGTAGGTTCACAGGGTCCATGTATACGCTAATTTCACTCTCATCACCTATCCAAACAAAGAAATCTTGTCTGAAGCCCCTGTTTCTGAAATAGTACATGGCCCTAAGCCCTAAACGGGTCTAGAGCGCTGCAGGGCGGGGGTAAGTATTACTGCTATCCGTAACCATGCCCCGTAGAGTCCCTGTACATGAAAAATGCTGCAGTACATAGCCCTATTCTGATTATAAACACCGCGCATACTAATCTTTAGTCTGACCCAGCCTAACTCTGCCTCGCACTTCACTCCAAGCTGAGCTCAGCACAGCTTTGACATCCTATATGAACCGAAAACCGACATCCTGTATAAACCGACTGTTCGAGCCCCCAGAGGTGAACACTACCCATAGTCTGCATTGTAGTTCCTTCTTTTGGTTTAACCAATTATATATTAAGGATTCTATAAGGTATCCCCAAAAAGGAACTACAATGGAGACTATAGGTAGTACCGGAGAAATATGTAGAAATCCGTGGTGCTGAACCGGTGACTAAGATACGTAGATATACCCCGGACTGTGGTCTGAGTTTTAACGCTTATAAACCCTAAACCCTGTCCCTAAGGCTCCATGTACCCATATAGTATATACTTTGGCCTTACTGTAGTCCCTATATTGGTACTTCGGGTCCAATGTATATACTATTTGGGTACATGGAGCCTTTGGGTGTCATTTGCCAGGTTCCATGGTCGGAGTCTTAGATCCGTCGAATCCCTTTTTGCAGCGGACGGACGTGGGCTTCACATAGGGGTTCAGTGGGTTACGACTTCGGCATAAGGGTTCCCTAAACCCTAAACCCTATACCCTAAACCCTATTATAAGGTTTTGGATGGCTTAGGGTTTTAGTGTTGCAGGGTTTGGGAATCAGTTCTTGCAGCCACAGGGTGTCGGGGATCTTTTTCCAGCCCTAAACACTAATCCCTAAACCCTAAACCCTAATGGGGAGCTTGGGAGCCTGAGGTGTCGTAGGTTCAGCCTGCCTGGACGCCCTTTTCGGAGACACCCACTATTGTTTTTGATGTAAATCCTGCATTACCTTCCCCTAAACTGAATTAATGCAGGATTTATATCATCAACCGTGGTACGTGAATCGCGCTTTGGGCTTGAAGCCTTGTTTTCTGACCCTGAGCTCACCTAGGTTCCCCTTGAACATCCGTGACCTGGACCTTACGGTGGATACCTTGGACGGTGGATCGGCGCTGATCAATGAGGACCCCGAAGGTCTAAGCGCCCCAAACCCTACACTTCTTCTTGCCTTGCTTGACTAATCGTTTGATTGTTCGATTGATTCTCTGATTGATTGTTGATTGGGTTGATTAGTTGATTGTTTGATTGGTTGACTGGTTGTTTGTTTGATTGATTGATTGTGTGATTGATGGGCAAAGCAGTCCCTCTAGGCCTGAACTTGTGGGACTCTCACGAGGCCCCCGCACGTCCTGAGCTAGGTCTCTTTACTTTTCATCCTGCCGAGGCCCAGTCCTAAAACGAACCTGCCAGGTCCAGAAAACAGGCGCGAGACCAAACGAAAAGCAATCGAAAGGCAGACAAGGTCGCGCAACATCGTGTTCGTCCGCCATTTTGCATCACAGCTCCTCTTGAGGCCCTACTGTAGCTGAAAACAGCTACCCAATAGTTTCTGGCAATCGAAATGGCAGCAGTGTCTGCATGATCCGTGAGCAAGGACCTGATCGAAGATTGATCAGCTCTCCTGTCTGGCAGACTTAGAGCCCAATACTCTGTCACATTCAAATACTCTCGGTACATAATTAATGTGGCGGCCCTTTTAATAACTTGGGCCTCTTTAATGCGTTTTTTCCTTATTCAAGCCGAGACCAAAAAAACGACCGGCTCGAATAATGCGTTTTTTTTGGGGGTGTTTTTTTTGGGGGTGGGTTTCCTCCTGTCTGCTGATGGTCAATCTTAAAGCAGCCACGACTACTACTGTACTACTACTGTACTACTGTACAGCAATTACCAGGCCTCAGACTTGGTGGATTGTGGAGGGGAGTGTAGG